TTCAGAAGGAATCTGCCCATGGCCACTCACTAATTCTCAGACTTGAAGCTGAGGTGACATTTATTTTAAAGAGTTGAGGTTACATCTATTTAAAAGAGTTGTCCAGTTGAATATAAAGAAAACAGTCTTCAAACAAACATAGTGTAGGGAATTACAGTTAAAAATATTAATCAAGAGCATTCTACAAAATGGTTCTTGGGTCAAATGTAGCAGCAGCAGTGAGAGTTTGACCTTGGACTTCAGCTGTAACTATATATGGGGTAGCCTTATCTCCCTACCTGATCTCGGTAAAATTGTGCTGGTAGAAACTGAAAACTGTTCAGGTAGCCTTAGAGAAAAGGGAAGCACAGTCCCAGCAAGCATCATACTTTTTATAAGGAAGTTGAAGGCTGAGTTATACATAATATGGACTATCATTTATGCTTGAGGATGACAAATGTTTCTTGGTGTAGACGTCTTAAAAAGAGGGTATTTATGTTAGATTGTGACTCTAGACCTCTGCAAGGTGTAGTTTGCATAGAAACTCTCCAAACAAAAATGGTGCCGAGTATCCCGGGAAAGGTGTTAGCCATAGGAAATATTTGTGAAATAAAAAAGAGAGATTTTTATCTACCTAGATCCAATGAATTAAACCAGGAAAGACATATCAGATTCTCCCAAATGCCTAAGGCAGTGCCTACATAAGAACTTATGGTTCCATAAAAACACTACTTGAAGCACAGTGAAACTGTTTTGTGCTGTATGCATGTTCCAATCTTATAAATAGTTTGTAATAATTTTTTTTCCTAGATAGGGTCTTTCTGTGTAGCCTTGGAGCTGTCCTGGAATTCTCTCTGTAGACCAGGCTGGCCTCAAGATCTACCCGCATCCCAAATGCTGGGATTAATAGCATGCACCACCACCCAAGCTTCATTTGTAAATTTAAAGTAGGCAGGTAGCTTCAGATGTCATCTTTTCCTGGAAAATCAGGTATTTTCTAAGGCACACCAAAGCTCTCAGATCAGAAGGGCTTGTTTCTATACTTTTTAAATTAAAAATTCCATTTTATGTGTATTTAAAAGATTTTGCTTATATATTGTGTGTGTGTGTGTGTGTGTGTGTGTGTGTGTACACATGCCACATGGCAGTCTATGGCGTCAGTCATTTCTCTACCATCCTTTGTGGAATTGCTTGTATGGGCCACCATGTGGGTCCATCCCTGGCTTTGAACTCAGGTTGTCAGGTTTGAAGGCAAGTGTCATTACCCATGGAGTTAACTTGTTGGTTATGTTTTATGTTTTTAATGAGAACCATGTGTTTCTCGAAGATTTGCCAACACATATATTAGCAGCCTAAAAGACTTGCTGTGCCTAATATCTTGGCAAAGTTAGTTTAAACTGTCATATAATTTCTTTTATAACAATCATCTAATACGGTTTTTATTTTCTTGTTAGGAGTTTGGAGTGACTAGGGGTTTGGGAAGGAGGGAATTCGCATTTGATGTTCTAAGTAACCATGAGAACAGACCAAGTTGCCTACTGAACTACAGTTGTTTAAAAAAGGTTTATGCAGATGTGTGTAAACTTATTGCCAGCTCCCATGCCCACTCAGAACTATCACATTTAGCCTTTAGAAAAGACTTTCTAGTGTTACTTACAAAAGGAGCTATTATGCTCTCTATAAAACCCTCCTAGTCTAATTCAGAATGGGTGCAGATAAGTTTTTGGTTGAGCACATTAACTAAACCCCAAAGGGCTCACAGGCTGAAACCAAATAGTATCTTATGATTCTTAAATTGTTCACATGTCAGATGGGATTGGTGTGTGATGCCTTGGTCAACTTCAAAAGATGCCATCTATTTCTTTTCATTCTTTCTCTCAAGGACAAAACCTCAATCCCAGAGGTTTGTAAATAACTAGACAAACAGTTTTACTTTCTGAGTATTTAATAAACATTCCTGGAGTTCTCTTTCATTGCCCCATATTCTGAAACAGGGGCCGACTGTTCATTAAGGTTCAGGGAACCATTAGTGATGGGAGATGTCCTTCTGTACACATGTTTCTCTTATTATTTGATGAATAAAACACAGTTGGTCAATAAGGCAGGAAGATAGGCGGGACTAGGATGAGGAGAAAGCTGGGAAAGGCAGGCAGAGAAAGCCCTCTAGACACAATCGCCATGTAGGCCGCCAAAGGAATAACAGGTTCGGACCTTTCTGTGGTAAGATAAGACCACATAGAAATACTTAGATTACTAGAAATGGGTTAATAATTAAGACAGAGCTGGTGAATAAGAAGCCTAGTCTTCAGCCAACAGTTTTATAATTAATATAGCATATGTGTGTTCATTTGGGGCTGAAGTGGCAGCAGGATCGCCAACAAGTTAGACCTGATCCTTTTGAGAATCTGAGGAGGTGTGATCAGTGTTGTAGTTTCCAGTGTTTTATTCTTTTTCTTTTCTTTTGTTTTCTCAAGACAGGGTCTCTCTATATAGGCTGTCCTGGAACTCACTATGTAGACCAGGCTGACCTTGAACTCGCAGAGATCCTCCAACCTTTGCCTCCCAAGTGTTGAGATTAAAGTTAATGGTATATACCACCACATTCAGCTTGGGTGTTTTGTTGTTTTACAATTTTTTATTTAATGACTTTCTAGTAACCCAGGCTGGCCTCCAAGTCATGATCTGCCAGCCTCCACCTCTGGAGGCTGGGATTACAGTGTGTGCCGCCACACCTGACTGAAGTCTTTTTTTTTTTTGGTTTTTCGAGACAGGGTTTCTCTGTATTGTTTTGGAGGCTGTCCTGGAACTAGCTCTTGTAGACCAGGCTGGCCTCGAACTCACAGAGATCCGCCTGCCTCTGCCTCCCGAGTGCTGGGATTAAAGGCGTGCGCCACCAACACCTGGCTCTGACTGAAATCTTAATGAACACTTTTCTGCTACTGCTTTCTATAGAGATTTGTATAGCTGCCTCTATCCATGTGAAGCTATATACCTTGGGTGGCATCCGAGGGAAGACAGAGGAAACACATAAGCACCAATGACAGGGAAGATCCTCCTCTCCTAGGCAGTGTCTCATGAAGGCTGTCTGAATGACAAGAGAAGAAGTCAGGAAACACAAGGCCGAGTGAATGATGGGAACAGGCCTTGTGGCTTATCTGGATTCCTGTAATAGCCATTCGTGTTCCCTTTCTGCTTACTCCCTCTCTCCAGTTCAACCTCCACAGAGCGACAGAGTGGGCTATGGACCATGTCGTGCCCTGGGTCATACTTACATTAGAATTAAGGTAAACGTCTCACAAGGCCCTGCATGATCTCTTTCTATTTTATTTCATGCTCCACTTCAGCCCCATGAGGCCAGGCTGGCCTTGAACTCACAGAGAACTACCTGCCTGCACTGGGATTCAAGGTGCACGCAACCAACCGTATCTGCCAAAGTTTTAAAAAGTGCCTTAGACATATTGAAGCCTTTTGCTCTTCAAGGGTTTTACAGCACGGCTTTCCTCTGACTTTTGTGATGGCCCTGCTCTCTCTTGGCCCCGTTGAAGGGTTAAGCTCTCAGCAAGAACCTCTCTCTAAGGCCTAAGTATAGAAGCATGGGGTAGAGGTGATTCTGAAACCAAAATCCAAACTAGATAGGACCGGGAGCTGGCTCTCAGTGTTACCCGTCAGGCCGCCTGCTGAAGGCTAAGATGTTCTCTGAGTTGATGTCATTCTCAGGTTGGCTGCAAGCCTGCTGTAGCAGTTTCAGGCACTGCATCGAGTTACAGCTGCATGCAGAGGGTCAAAAGTGACTTGCTCTTCTTGGCGTTCCCTGAGGGGAGTCCTTCCAGAAGGCCCTGCTCTAGCAGACTTTTTGGGTCTTTTTGGCTAGAATGGAGTCACATACACTAGTCAGAGGTGGGGAGGGGGTTGTTGTTATTGATCTCCACTACAGGTTCCTGTTCTATTTCATACTTTGTGTGCCTCGCACAGTTTTGTAAAAACCAGAGACGCCTCAGAGTAACGTTTTAGCCTTAGAACACTGGACTCTGGGGGCGAGGGGAATGAGAGAAAAGGTAGGGGAATCTGCAGTCTGGATGTAAAATACATTTAAAAAACCACTGGAATCAACTATCAACTATAAGGTGACAGACTTATCAAAATCACTGAGTTTGTGAACTGGTTATATGTGCTATCTTTTATTGATTACAGCTAGATTTTGTTTTGTTTATTTGGTTTGTGTGTGTGTGTGTGTGTGTGTGTGTGTGTGTGTGTGTGTGTGTGTTTTGAGACAGGGTTTCTCTATGTAGCCCTGGTTGTCCTTGAATTCACTCTGTAGACCAGGCTGGCCTCCAACTCAGAGATTCACCTGCCTCTGCCTTCCGAGTGCTGGGAATAAAGGAGTGTGCCACCACTGCCCAGCACAACTAGATTTTAATAATACTGACTGGACTAATACGCATCAAGAGTTATTTTTAAATAGTGATGAGCATAAAAGATATTTTGAGGTGGTTTTAAAAACTGTGACTTGAAAACATCTGCAATTTCTGTCTGTGGAAAAGGTACTTAGTTTGTTGGCTTCAAACAAATGCCTGGAGTTTTCCCCTCATCTAATGCATGGATACTTTCAACTACTTCCTGGGTTCCAGTGTCTGGTCTAGAAGAGTCATTTGATGGGTAAATGTTCTAAGAATGATGGGGCCAGTGGTACAGGTCTATAATCCCAGCTACTTGGGAGACTGAGGAAGGACTGCAAACTCAAAGTCAGTCCTGGCAACTTACGGAGACTCTGTGTCAAAACAGGAAGTAGAAAGACACTGAGAGTTCCAGAGTTCTCACCTCACAGGCAAGAGTTCCTAGGTTCAATGCCACGTACAACAACAACGAAAAAAATTTTTTTTAAAGATTTAATTATGTGACATATGTGCACAGTGTCTGGCCCTTAGTAGGTGTTCAATAAATCATAGCTTAAAAATACCGGCACACAGAGAAATCCTGAGAGTCAGAAACCCAAAACACTTAAACAAACTAGGAATGAGGTTTCAGGGGGTTTATTAACACACAGTTTCACACGTGAACTTCTTAGTGGATGAACTTGAAAGAGCATGTCAAAAATGCTCAGCATCACCCCATCTTACCGAGGCTTTCATTCAGAGATATTGTCTTGATTTATGTTCCCAGATGACGGTTTGTACTGTTGTTATGTCACCGATACTGGGCAAACCAGGCTCAAGGCTTGGCTCTCCATTCTATGGTGTGGTCACGCTGGCTCAGTGCTGAGGTTCTTGCTCACCCCAGTAATTTTAGTTCTTTGCCCTCTTCTCTTGAGAAGGATGCAATCTTATGACCATTAAGATAATATATTTTGTTCAAATAGATGAAAGGTCATTTTTACCCACAAGATGGGTGGGGAAACCATTGTTCATATGTACATTTGGGTTTGTAAGGAAGAGATCGTTTCTGTGGCCTGAAGACTATCCTTGGGTGCTCCTTCAGCAAAAAGAAGAGGACGTCCATGTTTCTAGTTTCTTGTTAGTGTTTCCATGGTTTAGTCGTGTGAAAGCGTCCTTTACTGACTGTAAGTTAAAGTTTTGAAATCATATAGGCATCAGTTGATATTCTGACTTTGTAATGTACTGTCTGTGATCCTGAGCAAATAACCTCAAAATAGTAATAATAGCAATAATAGTAAATAGTACTCATAGTAAGCAAAGTAACAACAGTAACTGTAATAGTAAGTTTGCAAGATTTACATACACTCACTGCCCCAAAGGCTCACGCGTTTGAAGACTTGGCCCCTAGCTGGGTCGTGCTGTTTGGGGAGGTCTAGAGCTGCGAGTGGAACTTCCCTGGAGGAAGTGGGTTACTAGGGATAGACCTTGGGGCTCTATAGTCTCCCCTTGCCCCAGTTCCCTGATTGCCTTTGGCCTCTCTTTAGAGGTGTAGGCAAGCAGCAGCAGGCTCCTGACACCACAAATTGGACTCTGTGCCTTCCCAGCCACGCCTGACTGTATCCACAAATCATACGCCTAAATAACCCCCTCCACTAAGTTGCTTCATGCCATCTATTTTATCACAGTGAAGAGAAAAAGAATCAGTCCAGTCCACATGCTTTGAAGGGACAGTTCTCATAAGTCTAAGCCACGTTTTTATTATTATTCACACCCAAATAATGAGTAGATGAGGTTTATATCTATTTTTAAACCTGCTTCTAAACTTCATTTTTCTTTCTTGGCAAAGTGGAGTCAATTGGGCTAATGAGTAAATTGCTGTATGTTGCAGATTTTCATAGTATAAGTGCTTAGTAAACGACACAGTCAGCCAGTATTAGCTTGCCTACTCGTATACAGCCGATAAAATCTTACTGTATTTCCATGTACTTTACTAAAATAATAGAATGATTGATTTTGTTGTCCAAGGATCATGGATTATTAATAATATTTAGTACATTTGACTCAAGGGTAAATAAATTCTAAATATAGCCTATTGATTGTGAGATTGTCGCCCCTTTTACAAAACACCCTGTGGGCCTTTATGGACTATTAATTAAAAACTGTGGCTACTATTGCCATATTAAAATAGCCTGTAAGCCCAGACCTCGGTGGCAAAAGAGGGATTTTGATTCCATATCAGCTTAGACTACATGGGGAGATCCTGTCTGCTATTTCCCCCACCAATCCAACTGCCAAAATAAATAATAAACAAATAAATAAGAAGAAAGGAAAAGAAAGCTTCTTCACAAAAGGATGTCATTTTTTGTTTGTTTGTTTTGTTTTGGTTTTGGTTTTTCGAGACGGGGTTTCCCTGTGTAGCTTTGGAGGCTGTCCTGGAACTCACTCTGTAGACCAGGCTGGTCTTGAACTCACAGAGATCCGCCTGCCTCTGCCTCCCAAGTGCTGGGATTAAAGGTGTGTACCACCACCGGCCAGCTAAGGATGCCTTTAAAAACAAAACAAAACAAAGCGAAACTTTTTTCTTTGCTCAATTTAGTCTTATCCAAAATAGTTTTAACTTGCTTTCAAAATATTCAAATTTAACACATGAGGCTTTTTAGAAAAAGATTTTAGGAAATGTCTATGCACGAGTGTGTTGTCTGCATGTATGTGTGTGTGCCACATGCGTACCTGGAACCCAGAGGTGAGAAGAGGGCGTTAGATCACTTGGAACTGGAGTTACGATGGTTGTGGGCCACCACGTGGATGCTGGAAACTAAACCTGGGTCCTCTGTCAGAGCAGCAAGTAGTCTGAACCAGTTCAAGAGTTTCCTGTTCGGTTTTTACAGTGCTGGGGATGGTATCTAAAGTCTTGCTCATCCTAGACATCCAGGTGACACCGATGGGTTTTGTTCCTAACTCTTACTGGTGAAGTGGATTTTGTGTGAGTTCTTAATCCAATTCCAAACATCAACCAATTGGGGAAGAGATAACAGACAGCTGGATTGCTATTGCTCATAAAACCGTATTTTCAGTATGGAATTTCTCCACTCTTGGATTACATTAAGGGCAAAAAGTCCTACTCATACTCAATAGCAAAGCTCCACTTAAGACACTAAGGATAAATAAAATTCATCTTTTCCTCCAGCAAAGAAGGCATGTTCCTAGAATTTTAATGAACCAAGTTTTGTGAGCAGTGAAAACTCCCTGTAGCCTTGCCTGTGAGTGCCCCCTGCTGGATACCCAAAACCTTTACTGCGTCTCCAATTTGTCCTTTTTAATGGGAAAGTGCCCAAGGAGCAGGTCACAAGGACAGCTGTAAATCCTAGTGAGTAATGTGGTCTTTGGGTAAGCGTGCAGATTTATAATAAAAACATATTCAGGAAACAAACTCAAATACAAAAATATTCCACTGAGCAATTGTTTATAATCGCACCAGTGCCAAGGAGCCAGTAAATAGTCCTCTATCTTATGAGCTCACTGAGTTTTATACATTAGTGACATAGGCGATTGGTGGGTGGCTTCTTACCGTAGAGAGCCTGTACATGTATTTTACATAAGAGTAGAACATTAGTGGCCCCTTTGTTGTGACCATGTGTTGGCTTCAATGCCAAACATGTAATCTTGTCTTGGAATCTTGCTTTTGGAGCCGCGGTCCCAGCTGGTACTTGAGGAAGGTGTGTTCTATTTTGCTACAAGCTCTGCAGAGATAACATAACCTGTAGCCTATGGGCAATCCACCAGACACAGGAATCAAGGCTCATTGGTCAACTCAAAATTTCCATTGAGGCTAAGAAGGAAGAAACAGACTGTAAGGGGAAAACTTCATGAAGGTTTTACCAGACTAGCCCCTAGGAGGACATGAAAAAATGTAGCACTGTGGGTGGGCCCTGGAAAAGGGAAGTCTTCAGTTTTCTCCTTTTTTCTCTTTTTTTTGAGACAGGGTTTCTCTGTGGCTTTGGAGCCCATCCTGGAACTCGCTTTGTAGACCAGGCTGGTCTCGAACTCACAGCTATCTTCCTGCCTCTGCCTCCCGAGTGCTGGGATTAAAGGCGTGTGCCACCAACGCCCGGCTAGTTTTCTCCTAATTTTTGTTGTTGTTGTTTATGTATTTGTTCTGTTTTGTTTTTTGAAAAGGTTTTGCTGTGTAGCTTGGGCTAGCTTTGAACTCTAAATCCATTGTAGTAGTTTGAATATAAATGGACCCCATAAACTAATAAGGAGTGGCACTGTTAGGAGGTGAAGCTTTGTTGGAGTAGGTGTGACCTTGCTGGAGGAATTGTGCTACTGTGGAGGCGGGCCTTAAGGTCTCAAATATCCTCAAGCCTCCACCAATGAGACAGACCACTTCCTGTTGCCTGTGAGTCAAGATGTAAGAACTCTCAGCTCTTTCTCCAGCACCATGTCTGCCTGCATGCTGCCATGCTTCCTGCCATGATGATAATGGGCTAAACCTCTGAACAGTAAGCAAGCCTAATTAAATGTTTCCCTTTATAAGAGATGCCATGGTCCTGGTGTCTCATCACAGCAATAGAAACCCTAACTAAGACATTCCTTCTACTTCCTTTGCTTCCGGAGTACTGGCATTACAGGCATGGGACACCACAGCTGTTCCTTCCTGTGGTAGTGTCTCTCTTCCTTTCCCTTTGGTAGTAGGGAGCAGACAGGGAGCCTTCCTTGCACATGCTAGGCAAGTCTCTCTACCTCCCCCATCCATTCCATGTGTCAATCAGTTTTGCAGAAATTCTACAGCACCAGGAGTTGTTCCCTACAAGATCACTGGGTGTAATGTTTTTATCACACACGTTTAACGTGATGAGACTGATTTTCTGCTTCTAGAATGTTCTTGTGATTGGTGGTGTGCCTTTTTCCTGCTATGACTTCCTGTTCCCTGAAAAAAAACATAATGCATAATTCACAAAAGCCTCTGCTGGGATAAATATTCCTTATTCCAGAGTTGGAAATGCGGAGTTACTCCACAGAAGGTGAAATCCTCACTTTCTCTTTGTGTCTGACATCTCTCAGTTATCTTCCAATTTTATACTTCTTGTACTTTTACTCTGGGGTAAAATTTGTCAGTTCTTGAATTCCCTTCTCCCAGATTCACTACTCATAATACCAACCCCCAGCAATTTTTTAAACGGTGTCTTTTAAATGGTTTGTGTTGGATATGTGATTTTTAGTAACACTATCTACATTTCTTTTTGTGCATGTGTGGAGGGGGGTGGCAGGTTGAGACAGGGTATCACTATTTATCCCAGGCTGACCTCATACTCACAATGTAATCCTCTTGGTTCTGCCTCCCAAGTGCTGGTATTACAAGCACCAGCCACCAAGCCTGGCTATGTTTCTCTCTGTGTTTTCATCACTGAGCAGAAGTTTGTTTCTCTTCTGTGGAATAGAAATCACAGAGCTATGTGGTCATAGACCATAGAACTCACCAGGTTCTGGAAAAGGAACTTGAAACAAGACGGGAATGGAAGCAGAAATCTCAGTGGGTTTTTTTAGTGTTTCATCACAAAGTCTTGTGGTAAAACGAGATGAAACCACAAGCTTCACTCTTGACTGGGCTAGCACTGGAAGAAAGATTGGTTTCAAGGTCAGCCAAGGTCAGATGGAAACTTGGCTTGTTTTATTCATACATTCAAACACCAGACCTATTGAGTTTTGCATGGTTTGGGGTTTCCAAAAACACAAAATATTTTGGGGCCCAGTACAAAGCTGAGGCCTGGGGACTAAGGGTAGAGGAAATTTATTCTGTCTTGGTGTGTACTTCAATAATGCCAAAGGTGAGGGATTTTTATCTACAGAGTTACTGTCTGAAACATATTTACTCAAACTGTTCTCTGGACATTGGGGAGAACAAATCATGTTCTTTTCTTTGTCTCCCTGTCTGACACAAAGGCCAGCATTCTTTCTCCCAGAGTCTCTAGACATTTCTACAGACCATGGGAAGATTTGTTTCTTGAAAAATTTCATGGCTGTGATTACTAGGATTCACAGGCAATATTCAATTCTTTTGACCCAATATTTGGGTTGCTCTCTAGAGGTAGAGGTAGTAACGTTGACTAGTCTGAAGGAAGAACATCACCCAATGATCTAAAATAAATACATAAACACCAGACCCATGAAAACACCTTATTTGTTTGTTTGTTTTATTTGTAGTATTAAAGATTTGGAGGAAAAAAAGGTAGTCAAGCTCAGAACATAAGAGTCATCTGTTGTTGCGTTTTGAGAAATGTGACAAGCTGATGCCCTTGATAGCTTGTGGACAGTACCAATTCTAGGGCTTCTTCAGAGTTTGGTGTGATGCTGACACTTGCTATGCCAAGACCATGCCTTCCAATGGTGGCCATGTCCATATCAGTTGGCTATGCCTTAGCTATAGTCAACTTTGGTCAAAGCTCTTCTATGTGGTTCTGGTCTTACAGTGTTTATCTCAACAGGTATTCCAACCAAACACTCAGAACTTGCTTTGTTGTCATTCTTCTTTTGGAAATTACTGCCACCTCATGCCTGCCTTCAAGACAGGAGGAAAAGGAGCTAAATTTCAGTGGGCAGGGACTTGAGATGCAGCTCGGTGGTGAACACTTGCCCAGTGCTGTGAGGCCCTGGGTGTGATTCCTAGCAATAGAAAAGGAGAGAAAGAGAGGATGAAGGCTTAAGAGGAAATGTTCATCTGAGGAGGGAAAATAAGTACTTATCCAGATGATACAGCCAGCAAATTGCCAAGTTGTCACACATAGTATAATGGCTGGAACTGTAACAACGCATGACATCCCACAGGATGGTGAGGGTTGGGTGGCCAAATTGGATCATCCAGGCAGAATTCCTTGGACCTTGAGTGGGCTGGAGAGGTGGCTCAGTGGGTGAAGGCACTTGCCTCCAAGTCTGGCCACCTGAGTTTCATTTCCCTGATTCACAAGGTAGAAGGAGAGAGGTGACTCTCCTAAGTTGTCCTCTGTCTCCCCCCCCCCATGCCATGATATTCACACACACACAAAGAAGTAAACACAAACTAAATCTGAAAAGCAAAACCCGCCTTAAGTATCTTAACACTAGAGCCCCTGTAACTTCACATGCTCATGCCAAGACAAGACCTTGGCTGTAAACCAGAGGTAAGCATGGCCCACAAGGGTGTCACAGCTAAATTTTAGGGAATGGTTGAAACAAAAATTCTCAGTGAAGGTTCAGTGAGACTAGAGTTCGATTTGGCAGTACAGTTGTGTAGCTGACAATAACTGTATATGAGCATTTTAATATGTAATGTTGCTTTAGGATGAAGAAATGACTCAGTGGTTAAGAGCCCTGGCTGCTCTTCCAGAGGACCCAGGTTTGATTCCCAGCACCCACATGTGTAACTCACAATCATTTATAACTCAAGTTCTGGGGCATCCAACAAACCCTTCTGACCTCTGTGGGCACCAGGCACACAATGATGCACAGACAGATAGATATCCATACAGATAAAACACCCAAACTCATAAAATAAATAATGAAGAGAATGTAATGTTGTTGGCATGGAGATGTACACCTTTAATCCCAGCAGCAGCAGGAGGATATCTACAGATTTGAGGCCACTGGTCTACATAGAGAGCTGTAAGAAAGCCTGAGATACATAGTGAGACCATGTCCTTAGGAAAAATGTAGGATATTGTTACCTATGACCATTAGTGGCCTTTGAAGAAGCAAATAGGCTAAACACTATATATCTCAGGTCTGTCTTAAGGAAGCAACCTGCCTCCCTCCTCTCTCTCTAGTCCCCCCCATGTAGCTCAAGCTGCTCTTTAACTCCTGATGTTCTGGCCTCCAACTTCCAAGTGCTGGGATTACAGGCATGTGCCAGCACACTTAGTTTCTTTCTTTCCTTCCTTTCATCTTTAAATCTCTTTTTTCTCTGATTTGTTCTTCCAGATTTTTAATTATGAAAAGTTTTAGCAGACAAAGAATGAAATAATGACTATGTAACTTTTCCATTAAGTTTCAAAGTTTACTCATTTTACCTTATCTTTCATATATATAGCCATTCATATAATTATGTGTATGAGGTACACATATGTGTATACACTTATGCGTATACCTTATTTATTTGTGAATCTGACTCTGAGCTATGTAAGTAGGTGGCAGGTTCTTCACCCCTGAATAAACTGAGCATATTTAGATGGTTAATTAGACCATCACATGGTTTAAAGAAATATTGGATGGGGGGGGGAGTGATGATTTATAGAGAAAAGCCAGGCAGGAGGAACCTAAGAGGCAGGGAATGACTACATATCATCCTTAAAGAGGACACCATGTGAGACAGGTGTGGTGACATCAGCCCATTATCCGCAGCACTAGAGAAGTGGAGACAGACAGATTGCAATTTCCTGACTATACAGTGTGGCTTGTCTCCAAACACAAAGCAAAACAAATGGGGGCAGAAGGATTAGTTTGATTTGCAGAGACTCCAAAAAACCTGAAGGGGCAGTCACAAAGAGAAACAAAGCAAGCTGTGTTGGCTAGTTTCTATGTCAACAACTTGACACAAGCTAGAGTCATCTGAGAGAAGGGAGTCCCAGTTGAAAAAAATGGCTCGATAATATCAAGCTATAGGCAGACAGGCTCGTAGGGCATTTTTTCATCAGTGATTGATAGCAGAGGGCCCCACCATTGTTGGGGGGCATCCCTAGGCTGGTGGTCCTGGGTTCTATAAGAAGCAGGCTGAACAAATCATGAGGAGCAGTAATCCTCCATGGCCTTTGCATCGGCTCCTGCCGCCAGGTTCCTGTCCTGACCGCTTTCAATGATGAACTGTTACACAGAAATATGAGGGAAATAAAGACTTGCCCTACCGAGTTGCTTTTAGTCATGGTGTTTCATCACTGGGGTGATAACCTTCATTAAGATACACGATACTCTTTCACTCTTTCATGCTTAGGTCAGAGAAAGAGCTGGTGTGCGCGCGCGCATGTGTGTGTGTGTGTGTGCGCATGTGTGTGTGTGTGTGTGTGTGTGTGTGTGTGTGTGGTCAAAGTTTCACAAGTTTTACTCAATAAAGGAGTCAAGCCATCACTGCAGGCCAGTGCTGAGTGCCAGCTTCCAGAAATCTCAGGAGACTGAGATGGGGCTAAGCTGTGCCTCTTCCACTAAGATAACCTCAGCACAAGAGCTCAGAAGGGGTCAGCGTGCAGCTAGTGGTTTGCAGGCTCATCAGATTGCAGCCCAGGCAAGTCTCTTTCCACCTTTGTATGGTGGGAGAGAGAAACTCAACAACAATGGGCTTGATTAAGAGTTACCGGTAGCGATGTGGAAGAACATGGTGGGGTTGACCCTGGCTGCAGGAAGAGGAGACAGGGGACAGTGGCACGATGGCTAACCCTTGGGCCGAATCTCCTTCGAGCTATTTACAAAGTTCCAAAAACAGCAGAAAACTTTCGCGCTCTGAGCACTGGAGAGAAAGGATTTGGATACAAGGGTTCCTCCTTTCACAGAATTATCCCAGGATTCATGTGCCAGGGTGGTAACTTCACACGCCATAATGGCACTGGCGGCAGGTCCATCTACGGAGAGAAGTTTGAGGATGAGAACTTCATCCTGAAGTATCCAGGTCCTGGCATCTTGTCCATGGCAAATGCTGGACTAAACACAAATGGTTCTCAGTTTTTTTCTGCACCGCCAAGACCGAGTGGCAGGATGGCAGACGTGGTCTTTGGGAAGGTGAAAGAAGGCATGAACATTGTGGAAGCTATGGAGCGTTTCGGGTCCAGGAACGGCAAGACCAGCAAGAAGATCGCCATTTCCGACTATGGGCAACTCTAATTCTTCTGACTTGTGGACTTCTTACCCACTGGACCATTCCTTCTGTAGCTCAGGAGAGCATCCCCACCACCGCCCCCATCTGCTGGCAATGCCCTGTAATCTCTGCTCTTCGGGTTCCATATTTTCCTCATTGCCCTCCAAGTCTAGCTGGATTGCAGAGTTAAGTTTATGATTATGAATAAAAACTAAGTAAAAGAAAAAGAGTTAAGGGTAGAACTCAGGCTAGAAACTTAAGCTCACTCAACATGAGTCCAGCGGGAGGACAGCACCCGAGTCCAGCGGGAGGACAGCGCCCGAGTCCAGCGGGAAGACAGCAGGCAAGTCCAGCGGGAGGACAGCACCCGAGTCCAGTGGGAGGACAGCACCCGAGTCCAGCGGGAGGACAGCGCCCGAGTCCAGCGGGAGGACAGCACCCGAGTCCAGCGGGAGGACAGCGCCCGAATCCAGCAGGAGGACAGCAGGCAAGTCCAGCGGGAGGACAGCGCCCGAGTCCAGCGGGAGGATAGCAGGCAAGTCCAGCGGGAGGACAGCAGGCAAGTCTAGCGGGAGGACAGCACCCGAGTCCAGCGGGAGGATAG